CTCTCTCTCTCTCTCTCTCTCTCTCTCTCTCTCTCTCTCTCTCTCTCTCTCTCTCTCCCCCTGGCTTGTAGTGTTGAAGATGTGAAGAGGCTCATAGTGATAATCCAGTGGCAACTGTCAATGACCAGATATAGCTATGAGATCTGAAGGCTTGTCCAGAGACATTTGTTCCTTTTAAGATATGGTTATTGAATCTTAAATCATTTTTGTTCCTCAGTTATTCTGTGGTTGTATTTTCTTGGTTTCCACATATTTATTACACTCCTCCTTTATTATGTCCTTTATTTACCATTGCATCAAAGTTGCGACTGCATTTCGTTGTAGTAGTGATACTGTGTTAATGATCAGATCTACTCTTTTGTCTATTGTGTCTCCATGATATAACTGTAGATGCCCACTCATTTTTGTTTTTTTTAAACCGTGTTTTCTAGTGTAGCTATTTTGCTGCCTCAGGAAGATGATTCAATTTTTATTAGCCTAATGATGGAAAACTCATTTTTGGAGAGGTTCTGTGGATTATTGTTATGAGCCTTTTCTATCATTTTTGCTGTACTAGCCATTATCATCATCATAAACACAATCCTCTATCTATCTATCCATCTCTCTCTCTCTCTCTCTCTCTCTCTCTCTCTCTCTCTCTCTCTCTCTCTCTCTCTCTCTCTCTCTCTCTCTCTCTCTCTCTCTCTCTCTCTCTCTCTCTCTCTCTCTCTCTCTCTCTCTCTCTCTCTCTCTCTCTCTCTCTCTCTCTCTCTCTCTCTCTCTCTCTCTCTCTCTCTCTCTCTCTCTCTCTCTCTCTCTCTCTCTCTCTCTCTCTCTCTCTCTCTCTCTCTCTCTCTCTCTCTCTCTCTCCCCCTGGCTTGTAGTGTTGAAGATGTGAAGAGGCTCATAGTGATAATCCAGTGGCAACTGTCAATGACCAGATATAGCTATGAGATCTGAAGGCTTGTCTAGAGACATTTTTTTCCTTCTAAGATATGCTTATTGAATCGTAAATCACTTTTGTTCCTTAGTTATTCTATGGTGTTTTGTCTTCATTTCTACATATCTATTACTCTCCTCTTTATTATGCCCCTTATTTACCATTACATGGAATTTGTGACTGCATTTCGTTTTAAACATTTGCACTAAGTAATATGTATTTCCCATGTGGTGCAAATATCCTTCCCAAGGTGCCCTTGAAATGCTAATAAAATTAATGTGATGGAACTTCAGTCAACTGCAAATAGTAGAGCGTCCTGTAATGTGGTTATTTTGACATTGTCAATGGCACAGTTAAGAGTTTCAATTGGTTTGTTTTTCTTTTGGTTTGGTGTGACTATTTGGCAACTATTGTATGAAATTTTGTTTGCTAGTGCTAGTTTAGATATTTAAGGTGTATGGCTAACTGTATGAGATTCCATAGATTAAATTGTGTTTGGTGGTAGATTATTATTGTAGGTTTGAGCATATGAGACTTTAAAAAACAACGCTGTACTAATGATCAGATCTAGTGTCTTTTGTTTATTCTGTGGCTTTCCACGTTCTACTTGTGGTCGTCTGAGTTTATATTTCTTGCCTTTTTTATTTTCTGGGATTACCTTGTAATGTAATCTAACAAATTTGCTGCCTCAGAAAATTGGTGCAATTTTTTATTAGTCTGGTGATGGAAACCTCATTTTTTTTGTTATGATTTTTATAGCACTTTATATAATAAGACTGCAGGAACCTGAATAGTTTTTGTAACACAGTTTCGTATTACTTTCAAAGAGCTTTAAAATTTAAATCTGGTTTTCATTTGTGAAGTACAGAACAGTTCTGAACTGTTTGAGTACCTTTGAGCTTACTTGATGTCTCAATTTTTTTACTAGATATATGTATATAAACTAAAATCTTTTGAATATATAAGAGCATATATTAATTTATAATTTATATATTAATTATTTAATTTATATGTAATTTAATGGTGTCAGGCATTTGATGTTAAGTTGGTTCAAAATCCGCCAATGTCTATGACCATGGTTTGTATTATGGCTTGTTGTGTATAATGGCATAGTTTTGAAGTGGATTTTAAAATTTTCTTTTCAGTGGTCTGGGTTAATTGCTAAGTGGGACTTTGGTGAACAATGATACATGCATTGGGCTTGGAGCAGTTTATGACTGCGGCCATTGATGGAAATGCAACCTAGAAAGCTATATATGACCCCTGTAGAAATCCTTGCATTCCTGTGATACGGGTGTTGCAATGTTAGGATGAAATTTTTATCTGCTAGTTGTAGGTGTATGGCTGACTGCATGAGATTCCATAGAAGTAAATTGTGTTTATCTGGTATCATCGTCCTTTTATTTGAGATGGGTAAATAAACTCCTTTATTTTCAAATTGGCTGTTCGGAACACGGTGTTGATTGAAAATCTGCTAATGTTCATGGCTATGGTCGTATTTGTGGCGGGTAATTTATAGTGAATTGGTATTAAAATCGAGTGATGTACATGCATGCACTGAGCTCCGAGCTGTGGTTATTGATGGAAATGCAGGCAGCTTAGAAAACTATATATGAGCCTCCTTGAAATCCTTTTGCTTTTCTGTTCGCAGGTGTTGGATTTAAAATGAAATTTCTGTTTGGGCTAGATTGGATTCTTAAGGTATAGATTGGACTTTGTAGTATTAAACTGTGTATGGAAGTGGATTTTGTGTGATTACAATCATCGGTTTAATTAATCCTTGTCAAAGTGCAATTAACTGTTTAATTTATCATTCTAGGCTTGGGTATGTTGGATTTTCAAGCAGTGATGATGTGCTAATGATCAGTTGCACTCCTTTGGCCTGATGATGGAAAACTCATTTCTGGGAGCGGTACTATGGATTATTATAAGTACGAGCCTTTTCTATCATTCTTTCCATGCTAGTCCTCATCATCATCATCACCACCACCACCATTCTCTCTCTCTCTCTCTCTCTCTGGCGTGCATGGCCGAAGATGTGAAGAGGCTCATACTGATAATCCAGCAGCTAACTGTCAATGACCAGATATAGCTATGAGATCTGAAGGCTTGTGCAGAGACAAATTTTACGTATGTAGTGATAACATCCTCTCTAAGGTGACCTTGCAACATGGATTCAATAAATTTATAGTCAACTGGAAATAGTTGTGGTGTCCTGTGATGCAGTGATGATGCAGGAGCATCTATTAGACTTTCCTAATATAAGTGGGCATCAGCCAAAAAGGCTAAGTTTTAGTTATATTAAATTAATAGGTTATTTTATTACCTGTTTTCCTATTCTTACTAGGATTTGGGTTTAATTTCCTGTTTAGGTTTTTAATTTCCTATGTCAATTAGGTTTTCTATATTCTAGTATAAATAGGCTATTAAGAGACTGTTGTATTTAGTTTTGTTGATGAATATAATTTCAGACTTTAGTCTATAGAGTTTCTATTGGGGTTTTGCCCTAGAACTCAATTATCTTCGTTCCAACTTCGATTCTACTGCTTTATCCTTCTATTCTCTGTATTTTGGGTATGTTTGGGTCACTGGACAGCAGCTTATAGCCGCTGCGCTGCATCAAGCGTAGCCATTTGCCCAGTGATGCATACTTGTGTTCTTTGGTGGTTGATTTGATTGTCAGTATGAGCCTTGATGCTTGTGTTCTTGAGTTGTTGTCGTTGTTGTTGTTGTTGTTGTTGTGGCAAGGCTGTAAATGAAAATCAAAGCCCACCATTATTGATACATTCAGGACATGATAAGATCTGAGGGCTTTTTTTCCTTTCTTTTCTTTTACTTGGGTAAGTGGTGTCGGGGAAATGGGAAATTGTCGGTTTACACGTTGAAGGTATGTTGGCAAATGTCTTTGTTATCGGCCTTATGCTTTGTTGTATCTATTCTTCATCATGTTGATTCATATGTGATAACAAGTTTGTTGTATCTATATAAATTTTCCTTTGGTTTTAATGTTGAAACTAGCTCTTTCAACATGACAATGTGCAGTTTTTTCTCATTAATTTTCCTACTTTCTCTTGTTTAGAACTCTGTTAAGTCTGTTAATTCATGTGGACTGGAGGAATTTTATAGTTGCAGTCTATGACAACTTGGGTGTCTTTTTTGCTTGTATTTCCATTGGCTCTCATTTTGACAACTATTTGCTGCCTCTTCCAGCATTAAAGGTGTATGCTCTGACTCTCTGGTTAAGAGTCCCTGTAATGTTTGTGTTCGACTGTGGGCTGTTTAGGTATTGTTAGGTTACAGTCTCTGTTTTGGCATTGAGGTTTTTGTATGCTTGTAGTCCCAGTAAATTTTGGCCTATAAGTTGTTTGCTTAAGTACTAGTCCTGGTAGTCTAGCTAGTATTTTTGCCTCTAGATTAGACAGTGGATAACTAGTCCCAAACCCACTGGACTACAACTCATTGGTCCCAAGGTTAGCTCTATGATGGATGAGCAGCTGCTTGGTTTGATCTATCATTGACCTTTATAACCCCACAACCCTCTCTTTCCCCTTTCCTCTATCTATGTGTGTGTATGTATATATATCTTGGTTGTGGGGGACGGCTTTTGGTAGATCCCATTAGCATTAAGCTGTGAATGATTTGATGGAATCTATAAGTTCTGAGGGCCTTCTCACACACTAGTTTCTCTAAGAGCTTTCTGTATTGAAGGTTGCTGAAACTGCTGAGTTCGTGTACCCAATTTGTTGATATGAAAATAGCCGCATGTGTGCATCTGAATTTGATTGATTTTGCACATCATGTGGATTTGGATTGTTTAGGATTCGAAATTCACTCACAATTGCAATTTTTTTTCACCTCTGCTGCTGTGTATCCATTTCATTCTCTTTTTTTTTTCTTTGGCTAATGAAAATACATAATGAATGTTGAAGCAAATCCATTGTTTTCATAATTCTTGTTATCATGTGGTTTATAGCACATTTATTTCAATCAGCTGTTTATGCCTTTTCTGGTTTATGTGGGTGCTGAAGTTTTGAAATTTGAACGGTTTTCTGCAAGGATGTCGATTTTTATATGACAGAGCACCTCCTTGGGTAATTATGAGCTGTTTTGTTTGCTCAATTATATTTCAGTTTGTACAGTTGTTCTTGTAAAAGATAGTCATCAATTCAATTCTCGCTCCCTTTGCATTCATTAATTTATCCATTGACCGCAGAGTATTTACATATATTTTTTGTTAGCTAAAGTAATTTGCTATTTCCTTCATGTATAAGTTATTCTATGTGCTGTAGCTGTATGGAAATCATATATGGTTGGTTTCTTTTGGATAATGCTTTTGGGCATTCTCTGATAATATGCCCAATGATGCAAATCCCATTTCATGGAGCAGTGCTTCACTTTAAGCCTCCATTTGTTTCACCACTGTGACCGTCGTCAATGTCTTCTGCTGCTGCTGCTGCTGCTGCTTCTTCTTCTTCTTCTTCTTCATCTTCATGGTTATTATTATTATTATTATTATTATTATTATTAATGTGGCGATGATCCGGTGGTGTTCCTGAATGTTGATCGGCTTTCAATGAAGTTTCACTGTCTCAAATGTCTGAGGGCCCAAAACTTCATTTGGCTATTTAATTCATTGATAGGCCAATGGATTTTACCTGTGCTGTCTAAATGTGTCCCATCTGTTAATGAAAATCATTTACAAGTTCAATAACAGAAAATTATAGTACTCTTATAAAAAGACCACAATAAAATTTCACCCAAAAAAAAGACACCAATAAAATAGAGAAAAAAAAACACTTTTGAGAATATTTAAAAAAAAAAAAACATGTTAGTTTGTGGTTAAGCCGCATTACTAGGCAAGGAGTTATTTTGTATGGGCAAGAGGGAAGCATTATCCAGTCTTAAAATACTACTTGCTAGAAACTGATTTCCCAAGACTGATCGATGATATAGATGAATGAAAAATCACCTAATTTGGTCAACAAAAAGAGTAGTATATAAAACTGATCATAAACTCCTTACAATAGATATACTCAAAAACTTTTGCCGTTTGGCAAGAATGTAGGAGCTCCTTCGCTCTACTTACTTACATGGCGAGGTAAGTATATTAAATTAGTCTGAGCTGTAATGGCTCACATAATTGCCAAAATCTACTAACCAGTGTCAGTATATTTCGATTGCCAACTTCTGTGTGATTATTAACACATAAAACTAAAAATTATAGAATTTCAAATTAAAATCTGTAATTTATTATCTGAAAAATTAAGAATTAGACTAATTAGAATGCTAATTTCTGCGTTTATTAACACATAGGTATAAAATTATATGAATCTCAAATTCAAATTTGTAATTTATTATCCGAAAAATCAAGAATTAGATTAATGAAGTGGTGAATCTCTCTTCTCTTCTTGCTAAACCCAAAGCTTTGGCACGTGGAATGACAAAAAATAAAATTAAATAAATAAACTACTGCCGACGTGTCCAGCCTGACGTGGACACGGCGTTCTGCTTCTCTTTTGATTTTGTCTGTTTGTTTGCTGAGAAAAGTTCTACATTTTTTCCCCTCGATTTCTCATGGCTGTTTTTTCTGTTTGATGAGAAGAAAGTATGGGAGTGAGGAGTTACCTTCGTTTCCTCGTGCATCTCTGCCATTGATTTTCTTTGTTAGAAAAGTACAATTATGTTTCTCTGTACTTTCCCTTTTCTGGGTTTTCTAATTTAACTAAGAGAACCAAAATGAGTTCTCAAATTTAGCAAAGAGAACACAGTCTTTCTCTGGTTTTCCCAATTCTCAATGGTCCTCTGCCTCAACCAAGAAAACCCAATTACGTTTAAGATTGATTTTTCACTTCTGGATTCATCTCTCTACGTCTTTCTCAGAGATTTGGATGTTTCTGTTTTTTTAACAGAGAGATTAAGGAGGCTCTTGAAATTGGCAAAAATCTGAAGCTTTCAGCTTAAAAAGGAGGTAAAATCTTCTTATTAAAGACTTTCCATTTTCTTGAAATTGGGTGGTTAGTCATGAACTGTGATTCGTCATGTGAAAATCCCACATGCATAAACTGTCTTGCATGAATATTTCTTTTGATTTAAGCATAGGGTGTTTCCATCTAACTCTAAGCTTGATTGCTCATTGTGTGTCCTGCAGCGCAGTTTCATTTTTTCCACAGGAGGAGGAGATGGAGTTAAACAAAGAAAACAAGAAACGTCCTTCATCAGACTCTCTTGTACAGCAAAGTCAATGGCAACTGCACAATTCTGACCCCCCAACAGTTGCCTTTGCTCGTTCTATGGATCTAAATAGAGAAAACAAGAAACGTGCTATATCAGACTCATTTTTACAGTGGAGCCAATGGCAACTGCTCGATTCTATCCTTCCAACAGGTGGTTTTGCTCACTCTTTTGGTCTCGAGGCAGCAATCCAAGCTCGTATAGTCTCTTGTCCTGAAGATCTCCAAACTTTTGTAATCCATCTGTTGGAGAATACTGGAAGCTTACTCCTTCCTTTTGTCTATTCTACAACAATGTCGCCTGATTTTGAGAACAGGCGCAAACTCGACAAAATGTTGGATGCAATGTTAACTAATGAAGTGAGTAGGAAGGCATCAATTTCACAAGGGTCGGCATTGATGAGGGTGGCTGCATCCGTGTACTCGGAAATACCATCTCTTAAATCTATGAGGGAAGCTTCTTTAAGTTCTGGGGTTGTTTCTTTTCACCATGCCCCTATGTTTGGGGTTATATGTGGTCTGCTCGGGTTGGACAGCGCTACTTCTCAAAGAGCTTACATGTTTATTACAATGAGAGATGTTATTTCTGCTGCAACAAGGCTCAATTTGGTAGGGCCCCTTGGTGCGGCTGTACTGCAGCATAAGATTGCTTCTGTTGCTGAAGCTATACTGAATCGATGGAAGGACCGTCCAGTTGAGGAAGCATGCCAAACTGTTGCTTTGCTTGACATTGTGCAAGGTTGCCATGGCTACCTGTTTTCTAGACTGTTCTGTTCTTGAAGTCCCCAAATAAATGCATCAAATGGTGGAGCCTGCTTGAACTTTTCTTAATCTTCTTTAGGAAAAGCTTCATCCAAAGACTGAGGAAGCATTTAATTCAAAATTCTCTTTTCAAGATGTGGAAGTTCCTAGTTACAAAGAGAAAATATGTATGACTCGATTTCTTTCTGGTTTTCTTTCAACTCATGGCAACAAATACAGAACGGGGAATTCAAAAATAAGACCTACAGAGAAGCGCTTAGATAGATGCACATATTTATGGCAACATGTGGCAAACAATTCAGAACACTCATGGAAAATCAGCCACATAAAATATGTCAGTCAACGTATACTTCACAGATTTTCTTCCTTTTCAATTTACTGCTGCTTACAGTAATTTTCTAAATTGGAACAAATCTGTCAGGTTTGGCAATCCATAACAATGACTAGGGTTTATGGTTTTCTTTCTGGTTTTCTATAACTTGTGAGAACCACTCCAATATCCGCTTTACTTTACCCTCATTCCTTTTCATTCATTCTCGTTATGAATTTGACCGAATTTGGACCTTTTAACTCTAGTTACATCCAGTCACACAAAAATTTCAACATGTTATTATTTTTTTTCATACAATCGATGGTGTGAGAGGGAAATCAAATCTAAAACTTTGGTTTAGTATTGTTACATAAGTTAGGGGATGTTAGTGTAATTTTTTTTTCCGAAAGTCACGAGTTTTTGTGTAAACATCACAAAAATCATGGGGTATCCGTTTAATTAACTCTAAAAAATAAATCGCGGATAATCAATAAATAAATCGCAGCAATACTATAGTGTTCCTAACAGAGTAACAGAGCCGTCCTCTGGGTTAGGGTTTGCATTTTGCAAAGAGAAAGATGGGGAGGATGATATTGAATAATGCGTTGAGGTCAATAGTGAATGCGGAGAGAAGAGGAAAAGCTACTGTGGAATTGCAACCTATCTCCACAGTCATGTCTTCTTTCCTCAAAATCATGAAACATCGAGGTAAACACCTCCATTTTCTTCTCCTGTTCTTATATGGGTTTTGTTAATTAATGCTAAATTATCCAACTTTTCGACATTCGTATGAATGTTTCTGCTTCTGGGTTGTTGTAAAATTAATTTTGTTGAGAGGGTTTTGAAATTGGTGACATTGTAGTGATTAAGGATCTCCATAACTTAGCTAGTATGGCTCTAGGAATTCTTTTTCTTTTTTTTTTTCAGTGCTTTCTGTCTTGAATAAGATGAATTATCATATGTTTTGGAGCTACTTGGCTTGAAATAAACTGTTGATTTGGAACTGGAGTGAACTGGGAGATGATAAAGGGAAGTTCCCTTTTTTTCTTTTTCTTTTTCAAACATGGCGTTGCTTCATTTGGAATCTTTAATCTTGAATCTTCTTTTTGCCCTCAAATTAAGGGCTTTGAAAGTAATTGGTTGTGACAAAACAAGGTTACCTAACTAAAGATTGTGCAACTGGAAAAGCAGTATACCCGTATAAGTTGTATTATCAAATTGATAATGCTTAGGAATAGAGGAATTTCTTCTAAAGTTTGGATGACTTTCAACAGCTGTTATAAGAACTGTGTTGGTAAGCAAAGAGGGGTTTTGAATTCTCTATATATACTAGATGAAGGGACCTTCTATTGGGAAGTTGTTGAAAGTACAGGAGAAACGTAAGTGGCTAATGAAATATTTGGCCATGTAATCATTACACTTCTTGTTTGGTTTCTTTGGAGGAGGGAATGAGAAATCCATATTGTCTCCAAATGCTATTTGTTAATTTGTTGCATGTGCTGTTTTTGAGTGTGGTATCGTTTCGTTCAGGTTATATCAAGGATTTTGAAGTTTATGATCTGCATAGAGTGGGGAGGATAACGGTTCAACTACAAGGCAGGGTTAATGATTGTCGAGCTCTCACTTACAGGCAGGATGTCAAGGCAAAGGATATTGAGGAGTACAAATTCCGTACGCTTCCAACGCGCCAGGTTTGTTAACTTCCTGATCCCTAAAGATCTGGAAAAATTCCTGATTCTTATTTGTCCCTTTTATTACTGAAACAGCCTGGCTGGGAAGGTCTGTGTGTTTACTTTATGTCATGGATCAATGTGTTCAAGAAAGGTTGACATTTTATGGTTTCCTCTACCCCTCTCCCTCTTCCTCTCCTTGCAGTGGGGTTATGTTGTGATCACAACTCCAGATGGTGTCTTGGATCATGAAGAGGCTATTCGACATAATGTGGGTGGTCAAGTTCTTGGCTATTTTCATTAACATCCTGTGGATGAGAAGAGAGAAAAGGTTTTCCTAGTCTTCTATGATGAGAACCTGACTTCACCAATGAGATATGTGTTGTTTGGTTGACTGTAAAAATCAATCTATGTGAATCTTGCGTCCTGATGATTTAGATCAATGGAAGAACATGATCTTGGTTTCTCCTCATCAAAACCCATACATAATCACTTATTGTTGCATAGAAACAGGACAGAGAATGGTTATATTTGAATCTAATGAATTGGAGAGCATGCAATGTGAGAATGAGACATAATTTGGAAATATAAAAAAAATTGGACTGCATGGCATTGTCTTTATTTTGATGGAGAGAGATGTGTATGTTAATTGGAAAACGTATTATTGTGGTAGAATGAGGTGTACATTTTGATGGAGGACTGTGATAAATTACACAATCGATGAAGTTAATTTTTGGTCGAAACAATCAATGAAGTTAGAACACAGTAAGAATTTCATGATCTCAATGCATTTCCAAAGAAAACTTCAACAAGGTAGATGACATGTTAAGACTAAATGCTTTCTTATTCCATGAAATTGGGCAAATTTTCTTATTTCATAAATATTTGAAATAAGAAAGTGAACCAGGATGTCCATTGTCAACGGCAAAAGAGTCAGTTGACTGACTGACGATTAGAAAGTGAACCAGAATGTCCATTTTCACGCATGTAGTTTTTCTTTTTTATAATTTGGTGTCTTGCACACGACTTTTGTTACATTAATTGAAAAAACTGAAACACTATTTGTTGTTCTTTGATAAAACTAGACCTGTAAAAATGGCCCAAGTTCGATGAATTAGTCTGAGGTCAGACTATAATGAGTGGAAAGTTATAAGTGGTAAGTTATAAGGGGTTCACTTTATAGCCATCAGATCAATCCAAAGGCTAGGGAGAATTGAGATAAAGTTTTGCAATCGGGTCGGTGAGGAACCCAAACCCGAATTTAATATCCAGCATTAAAGTTGGTCCCAAAAAAAAAAAAAAAGAGGCAAGTTCGAAGTTTGAACAGAAAAAATCAGTTCGAAGTTTGAACAGAAAAAACCCATCACTCTAAAACTCATAGCTCTGAGAAACTGCTAAGCTCTGAGAAAAGGTTGAAGGCAACGGTTAACGATGGTTGAAGGCAACGGTTGAACGCAACGCAACTCCCTTCTCTAAACCCTGAAAAAGTATTTATTTTGAGTGGAAGGGACGAAGGCGTGGATTCCGAAACAGTGAAGTGGCGAAGCAGTGGAGGGGAAGGAGAGAAGCCGTATTTGTTGGAAGTGAAAGGTTCCATTTGTGGAGCAAAGCCGCACAAAGACCCCGCACAGACACCTTGCGATTGTTCAATAACCAGCATTTGGTGAGTAATTTATGGAATTTGAGTTTAGGGTTAGAGTAAAGGTTTTCCCCAATTTGTACCATCAATGTTGTTGGATTTGGCATCTCTTCCTTGTGCTTCACTTGCATGTTAATTTTTGCTTGTGTATATGTTAAAAAATGAATGAAAATCAAGTCAACAACATGTCCATAACATGTCAATAACATATCAATAATTATATGAATAAGATAATGGTGTTGAATTGGAGGAGACCCTCAAGTCAATAACATGTCAATAACATATCTCTGGCGCTAGAATATATATATATTTTTTGAAATAAATATTATTTCCCTTGTTGCTAAATTTGCCTGTGAAAAATGAGAAGATATAATAATAAAGTCATGAATAAAAGTGCAAAGCATTTGAAATGAAGGTTGATCCATGATCATAGTGGCTGACTGAAGAAAAAGCTAGAAAGAAATAAGGATGTGGCAATGGCTTAGCAAGCAGATAGCAGAGCAGATGCTTTGCTTTGCTTCCTTCCACTATCTTTCTTATTTATTTATTTATTTTGTGTTGTGT